GTTCCATAATTGCTTTATTCTGTAAACCAAGCTCAGAGAACCCCAAGGACTCCACGAATCAATGTCCATATTTTGTTTTTGAAGAAATCTGGACTCATTTTTTGTTGAATCTGTTTAATATGCTATTAAATATGCTTAAGTTTAAATAGAAAAATTGTAAGACAATTTGACTAACAAATTGTACTTCAGCAGTCAATATTAAAATATTTGTAGATGAGGGCTGTATATTCCTGAAGGCCTTCCTCAATGTATATAGAGTGTGCATACTAAGACAGAAATTGGCGCTGAAACTCTTCCCAAGTGCTTCAATTTTGTTCAGAGAAATGCTGGAGGCATAAGCATCTTATCATACTGTTCAAAACTGTACAAGATAAATGATAAAACTACACATGCAACACAAGTAAAAATTAATGGTAAAATCTTCCTTCTTTATGAGAGTAATACAGAAATACAAATATATTCTTAATTGAGGGGGGCAAAATTATTCAAATGTTTAAAACAAACTTGGTAGAAAAAATAGATAGAAAACTAACACTATTTGTTAATCAAGAAGACAATTTGTAGAGCAAGGTATAAAAATATACAGACATGTACTTTCTTATATATTTTACAGAATATTAAATTGCAGTACCATGGACCTCTACAAGTGAAAAACAGGCATGTCTTTTCAGTGGTGTATTCATTTTGTAACTTATTTAAGGAACTTATTTCAAAAGGTTATCTTCCTCTATATGACAAAGTAGAACCCATGCTGAAGTGAACCGTGGTCATCTATACATCCACATGGATTTTCCTATGTAGTATACAATAACACTTCTGCTTTCTTACAGTATTTACTGAGGATTCAGATTTGCACCCCAACCTTTGGATTAGACATTTCCATGAAACTAAAGTAATTTCAATGGCTGAACATCAATTACAAGGGTTAGGGTTAAATCACAAAACAGACCTGAAAAACATTAACACTGTGATATGATGTAACAGATACTTCCTCAGAATTATTAGAGGCAATAAAAATTTGCAAACATCAAAATAATTTAAATTGGGAGAATGATTATCAACTGCCATCTACATGACAGTTACTGATTAGTTGGGGACATTTTGCTCCACTGAACATAGGCAGTATATAAGGACATAACATCTGTTGCCAAGTTCAGTTTCAGACCTGCTCTGAAGAAGTAGCTAGCAAAATGTCAGCCCATATTCATTGTCTCCTGCAACATTATTTGGAAGTAATTTCATCGATAAATAGCAATGTGAAAACCTTCACTCTGTCTTTTGAAAATTATCTAAAACTGGGTTCTAAGTATATTCATAAATATTTATATGAATAGCCCAGATTTTCAAAAAATAGACTATCAATGATAAACCATTAAACCAGTTGAATAGCTAAATGTTTATAGCAAAGATACATTTATATTCATGTTCGTACTTCTAATATTGAAAAACGTGACTTAAAATCAAGTGAAATAATTTGTAATCATCAAAAATAAAACTCCCCCTTTGTACTATATCATTCAACTGCCTGCCCAATGAAATATATTACTGTTCTGCATGTTCTCTATTTGGAACTTGGCAGATCAAAATATTGATTTCATGACAATTTTAGCTAACTGGTCAGATGATTGCCAAACCTTCCCTGCATGCAAATTCCCCAAAGGCTGTCTCTTGAGATGTACATCTGATTGAGCCATGCCTTGGTAATACAGCTTGACAACATGTAAGGAGTTGCCATGTTTCCTTAGCAGACTTAATGCACTTTAGTGAAAAATGTTTAGTTTGCAAGGTGAACCATTTAAGGGGTTAATTCAAAAAAGAAATCAAATGCTACTTTAGGGCAGATATTGCAATTGGAGAATAAATGCCCTTGAAACACTTTAGGAAGATTTTTTTGGGGTGGTAGTGGTATTGCTAAGGATAGAACTCACCATGATAATCCTTGTATAATGGATTGGTTTCTTTCTCAGAGCCAATAAATGATTCAAGACCAACTACTGTATCAGACAAGTTGGTAACACGTTCCATAATTGCTTTATTCTGTAAGACATGGAAACAAAATACACACCTACATGATGAAAAGACAAAAAAATACTTCAAAAAGTAGACCTTTGTTTTCTCTATGACAAACTGAAGCAAAATAGGTCATTAGTACCTATAAATCATTGAAAATATGACTGATAAACTACATTGGATACGTTTATTCTTCCCCACCCCCACTAGAGAACATAACATTTTGTCATACAATTGTTATTATTAAATTTTGAGGTATATTTTATCTACACAAACAATATTTTTTTGATGCACTGATTGCAACAGGATACTTGATGTGGGCATTTATGATATGGAAAGCAACATGTCTTATTCATTTATTTGATTTGATTTCAACATTGCCCAACTCCAAAGCAAAATTGTGCAGCTCACAATATACAAACAAAATACAATAAAATAATAAAAATACAGTAAGGGAAATAACAGGAATTAACAAAATGGCAATCACAGCTAGCATGTCCACTGAAACAGGTTTTAATACCCTTAGATGCACATACAGTAAACAAATGTATAATATAGGATGGGGGTGGAACCAGTATGTAAACTGTGATAATGCTAATTTCCTAGGAAAGAAATTGTTTCTACCAATTCTCTGTCTTGTTCAATAACTAGAAGAGCAGTATATATACATGGTATTCTACATAATAGAATGGGTCATGGATAACAGAATGGATATAATCCCCAAATAATAGAATATTAATCACAGAAGGAGCTGGCTTAGCCAATGGACTTATTCATGGTATAGGGAAAGAAAAGAAGAAAAGAATTTGAAATGACTTATTACAAAAAAAAAGTTCGATAAAAATATGGAATATTTTAAAAACAAGAATAGATTGGCAATTTTACCATAGCTTCACCATCAAATACCTTTTACCCTAGGGACATCTATAGTAAGAAAGATTTAATTAGATATGTCAATATGGTACATCCAGACTCAGGAAACAGACTAAAGACACATCAAGAATTACTTACAGAAAATAGAGCTTAAGCATGGCTGATATACTTACACATTGCTGGAAGAATAAGCAGTGAGCTCAAGAAAAAAAGGAGGGACTTTGAGAAATGACAGAATTTGAAACACTCATACAAAAGCATGATCACCTATTAGGTTGCATATATAAACTGTAACTGAAATAAGACACAAAGATGGAACAAAATTGTATGATAAAGTAGATGTAAAACGTCAAAGAAATAATCGCAGAACGATGATGGGAAGAACTATGGAAAACATCAATAGAATTTACTCCAACTTATAATTTAAGGGAAAATAGATATTAAATGTTTTACAGATCTGTCCCTTTTTAAAGGGTGGCTGGTTGTTTTCCCCAGGCCTGAAGTGGATGATGGACTGACCACCATTTTGGGGAGCCACTTTGGGGGTATGATGAGGGTGTCCTTCCTCCCTCCCTCCCTTCCCCCCCCCCTTATTTTTCTTATACCTGGGAGAGCTTTCTGACATTAATATCAGGGAAAAGCGGAGAACACTTCGTTTAAGAGTTATTACAGCTAGATTTATGACATATAAGAGTAGCATTCTTGGCAAGAAGAAGAGATGTTAAGACATCTCCTGCCTTTATCTTCTTCTGGTCACTTCCTAAATCAGCTTAACTATACTAGTCTATCCTTTGGCCTACTGATGCTGTTGTTAAATACCAGGTCAGCAATTAATAAAATCTCTATAATCTGTTCCTTGATTGTGGATGAGAAGAGTGGTTGATATCGAAGATTCAAGTTAATGTCACCAAATTGTGCCCTTCTTGGTACTCAGGGATCCACCAGAGTAGATCTGAGTGAGGGAGAGAGAATTTTATAATCCTCTGGAATGATCTCTCTTCAGACTTCCTACCTGTTCAAGTGCTGATCTAGACTTCCTTGCAACTTGAGCTGGGCACTTGGGTTAGACTAGGAATTCTCTTATTGCCCTACCTAGTCCAATGCACAGTAGTCTCTCTATATAAAATGTTGTAGCTGGTCTAGGGTTAAGAATCTATTTTTAGTATTGGGTCTGAGTCCATTATCCTTTGCTTCCCTTTCATAAATAAACAATTATATGTGCTCTCTTTCTTTCTGCAAGGTCCATTCACAAAAGAAGTCCCTGCAAAATTATTTGCAGAGGACAGGACCTAGTGGCAGCAACAGTTTGTGCTTACAGAGGCAAGGAGCCGCAGTGACTATAGCTGCTAAATACAAATCTAACAAAGAAGAAGAGACAACTGGGAAAAATAAGAATTATATAATAATTATGTAGAAGAAGGAAAAAATGGGTAGAAAGAGACAGAAAATATCAAGCATTTAGCTTTCTCATGGAGAGGCTGAAAATAGCAGTGTTCAGTCAAACAACTGGGTAACCATTGAGCAATAGCAGTATTAATTAGAGAAGCAAAAGCAATCTACAGTAGGATTAGCTCTTGTTAGGAACATGAAGGTAGTATGTACAGTGTGGGGATGCATAATAAGAACGTGCAAAAAAAAAAAAGCACAAACAGGTACATTTTCAGTGAAAGAGATGATACAATAATAAGACTCATTTAAAAAATGAGGAAATCAGGCTATTTGGTAGATGAATGATGAAAGAAAAAATTCTAGTCATATCCCTTAATGGCAAAGGCTGCAAAATAGAGAATGTCTAACTTTTCTTGGGATCCAATTAGCTGGAAAATAAACAATGTAAACTATATAAAAACCCTACTCATGGTCATAAAATTGCATAATAACAACTAAGTATCTATAGCTATGTAAAGCTTTCCAAAACTTGGAAGCAAGGTTCTAACCTGTTTAGTATAAGTTAATATTACTCATTAATGTATTATAACTTCACTCTCTTCTGTCTTTTTTAATATTTTTATTTATTTATATATCGAATTTGTCACTGCCCATCTTGTTGAATGACTCTGGACAGTTTACAAAACAATTAAAATCAATTAAAATTACAAAATTACAATAATAGAAAATAAATAGATCTTCTCTGTCTCTTTGCTTTATATGAGTTTGGAAGCTACTTTCCTATTTCTTTATTCTCAGGATTGTGGGGATTAAGTGGGGAGACAGTAACCTAAGCTAAACTGGAGGTTTAAACTGAAGTCACTTTTTTTCCCCCTTTTAAAAAATAACTGCACAGTTGGGGTGGATACTTCTTTTCGTATTCCTTCCCCCCTGCCCCGACTTAGATCTACAGTTCCCAAACTGTAAACTGCAGGGCCCCAGGAGCAAACTCACAGGGCTGCAGGATTACTGTTTAACCAGAGGAACCACTAGTGAGTTCCCCAGGGTACCACAGCACACAGCTTGGGCACCGATAGGGGTATCATGAATTGAGAAAGTTTGGGAACTTCTGACTTAGATTGATATTTACAGTTTAAACATTTTTCTTAATGTATTTGCTACTTAGTAGGCTTACTGAAAGTGAAGATGACTCTAATGCTGGGAAATTGTCAGCCCTTTGATGTAGGCCAGATCAGGAAACAGACAATGCAAGGAGTAATGGCATTTAGCTTTATTGTTTATAGGGTATAATAACAGAATCTTGAAAGCCTGCCAGAGTTTCCTTCACTCCTTTCTTACACCATGCAAAATCAAAGTGAGGTTATTTTGAGCTGCTTCTAATGCTTACTTCTGGTTGTTCAGGAATGGTCCAATAAGAGATGGTAGAAGCTCATTACACCTATCTCTGTGGAAGTTACAATATAGTAACACTTAAGCCAGTTCCCAGATTGACAGGAACAAGTCTGGCACCAAGCTTCAGTGACTCTAACTGAACAATTATTTGAACATTTCTCCCCTAAGAGATTCTCTTTTATGGGAGCTCAACTAACATGTTAACTAATAAGAGAGCCAGTTTAGTCTAGTGGTTAAACTCACCAGCTAGAAAGCAAGACACGGTGAGTTCTAGTCCTGCCTTAGGCATGAAAGCCGGCTGGGTGACTTTGGCCAGTCACTCTCCCTCAGGCCAACTCACTTCACAGAGATGTTGTTCTGGGGAAAATAGGAGGAGGAAGGAGTATTAGGTATGTTCGCTGCCTCGAGTTATTTATAAAAATAATAAAGGTGGGATAAAAAAATCTAAAAAAAATGTTAACTGTCCAGGATGCCTGATAAATCTGCTTCGGCCAGTTCTTCTCTGGATTATATGGGAGAAGACAGCCTTTCATGACGCAAATTATTTTATGTTTTTAAAATAGGGAGGGGCAATATTTTCCTTTCTAGAGACCACATTTTAATTTAAACATTTAAAAATCTTTTAGCCTCTGAGGGCCATAAGGGCATGTGGACATTACCAGAAGCAGAGTCAAACATTTTGTGTAAGTTACACAAAAATATGCCTTACAGAATTAAAAAGAGAAAAACTGCCATTTTTCTGTTGAATTTTGGTTGTGAAATCTTAAAGTGCTCTGGTGCTTACCTCTTCTTTAAAATAACAATTAGCATCTTGGAGTGAGGCTGAACGTAGTTCAATTGTTAGTGCAACGAGAACAGTTGAGAAGTCATAACTTCCAACATCCTGTTCCTTAAAACAGCTACAGATGTGCTCCGAGGAGGATGAGAGCTATGCCAGAGGTTCAACCATACTAGACAAGGTCTCATCAGAGGAGCTAGATGAAGAGTGTCTCTCCCATAAACAATATGGTGAGACGTAATTTACAGAAACCCATACTGGATTGGTCGTCGCCCGGATCAACGAGGACCCCACTAGATGTTCTAGTCCCTGGACATCTATTGACAAGTGGGCTATAGGATTCAGGACTGTTGGCTGAGCAACCAGGGCCAGCAGCTGCAGAACTGCTGGAAGAAATGTTGATTACCCATCGCAAATATACAAAGACTGAAAACAAAGAAATAATGATCTGCTATTACAAATCAAGTCCAACGAGAAGAGGCTATCTGAAAAGAATGCACCAGTTCTGGAAAGAACATCCAGAATCAGAAATAACAGAACAGAAATGTTGATTACCCATCGCAAATATACAAAGACTGAAAACAAAGAAATAATG